TCTTCCTTTTTGCTGTATAAGGAAGGGATATCTGAAACTCTAATTAGCATTCTTAATAGAACGGGAATTAAAGTGCCATTTAAGCCTAAAACTCATTCAGGTAGGACAAGCTCTGCAGGTTAAAAGACCCCATTCATCCAATTAAACGAAATAATATAATTTACAAAATACCTTGCAATGACTGTGACGTCAACTACACAGGTCAGACCAGTAGACAGGGGGTAATCAGACTATCGGAAAATAAGAATTTAGCTGAATGTAGAATGATTGACCCCACGAAGATGAGTAATTTGGAAAGAAACTGAGCGATTGCACTGAATGCATTAATACACAACCACACAACAGGGTGGGACAGAATTACAATTCTAAAAAGTAATATAGTTATTAGGATAGAAAGGTCGATTCCTGAATCTTTCTTCATCGAATCTACACCTGACACACTCAACAGAAGTGACGCAGCACCAATACCAGAAATATGGAAAATATTACTCTCAATAAAATCAAAGGGTAAGAAATAATGTTCAATTGTGTTTTGTTTTATTTCAATTTACCTTGTCACATTCTAATATTTTATTTATTTATTTATTTTATTTTACTGACAATACTCAATGACTGATGGCATTTGTCTTATTTCCCATCTTAATGCATTCACACTTCCAAATGTAGTTTCAAGCATGACCGTTGAACTTTATACTGACCTTTATTTATTCATTCGCTCATTCAAATGTCTATTCATCAGTTTGTTACTCATGTATATAAAGGAAGTTGGCAAGTTGTGTGAGTACGTTGATACGATGGTTGTGAGCAATGAATGTTACTCAAAACATTGTTATGAGTAAATAATACTGTACAGCACACTGTGAGATTTTATCAAATACATTTACTCTGTGATTGAATTATACTCCACCACATTGGCCATGTTCTGTTCTTGTATCAGTGACATCCTAGAACAGATTTATATCATGTATTCATTGGTTGAGATGGCGTCAAGGGAAGCCCAGCCACTAAATTAGTGTGGGATAGGCTAAGGAGTCAGCTAGTCATGTGGGCAGAGTTAAAGCGTAGCAGGATAAATGCTTAGATAGCAATCGTGAGCGTAATCTCTAATTGAATCCAATGAGGGGAAGAGACTGAAGTCGTTGAGTCACTGTAGCTAACCAACCTACTAAAAATTCCAGTGAATAATCTGGAAAGACATTTATCTTGAATTGTGAAAATTCTTTTAAAATGTCACAACCGCATTGGTTTCTTTTCTGTGGAATTAACTTCATAACTTTTAGCACGGCGATTAAGTGTATTACTCACTTATGAAGTAAGACGAAATATTCATGTAGAGAAGTTACTCAACTGAATCACGAGTAAATTTAAATTCATGAAGTAAGGATTTTCATAAAGGTGCTACACATTGTCGCAACTCACCGGCTTGGTAGATATGGTTCCAATATTCAGAATGATCATTTCTCAGTTCGAGCTCAACTGAAGACTAGGATACAGTTACACCTAACTGATAAGCTAGAAATACGACAAAAATGCTCACTGTTAACTCCTCTGTTTGTCAATAACACAGATGATAAAAGAAAAGTGTTCAACTAAAGTGATATTTCAAGTGTGGCCGAGTTAAGCTTTTCTTATCACTAACTACTAATGGAGTGCGTCCGCACTAGTGTCAGGGAAGGTCCCAAATCAGAGCGAAGAAACTATCCAATACTCACTGATTTTCAATGGTTCTTTAAATGAGGGTAATATATATTTATGGTGAAATTACACATGCCTTACAGTAAAATCTTCATTTGAACATGTTGCTTGTATTCTCCTTATTTTCTCCGTCTTTCATACTTTCTTCACAAAGAGCTTCCTTTTTCTGCTCTTCGCTATTTAATTTCTCATTCGGTTGGATATTTTTCGTGTATAAGACATTGCACACGCACGCAATATACTACTAGCAAAATCTTGCCAGTAACACATAGCACAGCAATATGTTATCTCGAGTTGTGACACAGTAGACCAGTGTATTATTTACTCACATTAGACAAACAAATTATCAGTTGGTCTGCAATAATTTAGGAAGGACAATAGATGTTTTGTTGAAACATTGAATTTACCCGTCGCATTGAATGATTTGTCATTGGTATTTACTGGTTGTTAATTTTGTTTTGAGGTAATTAGTCATGTCCCAGTGGGTTAATTCAGTATTGATAAATTAAAAACAGCCTTGTACGTAAACTAATCGATCGTCTTCATTTACAACTCGCATCTAAGCTTATGAAGGAGTTGACTACAGAATTCTATATTCTGCTGTATCGTCGACGTGAAACAAACAAAGCCTCCTGAGTGTTGATTGATTCGAGTGTCTGGGATTATCTGTGTTGACACTAAGTACTGTATGCAAACAAATTCAGAAATTCATGTACATTTGAAGGAATAAGTCGACGTTTTCTGAATGTTCTGCAGTCTGGTCTTGTTGGTGTCACAGCTTCTCACACACTCAAGCAGCAGATGGCACACATCACTTTAATACCTAAGCTACCTGCAACTCAATTACCAACCACCTGGAATTCCTCAGACGTCGATAAACCTGTGTTTGGTTGAAACCACAGAGCAGGTCGCAGCAAATGGATAGAAGGATTGAATAATGGAGGATGTGATATTGTCATGTAGGATGTCTCAGTTGGAACAGGGATATGAATACAGCACCAGGTCGAAATACGAATGTCTCACGATGAGGGGATTACAAGCAGTGGTTTCCCACTCAGTATACTTCTAGATACATTTGGAATGCAACGTGGAGAAGAAGCCGTTTAAGCTCCTGACAACAATGAACTACTCCCTTGAATTCGGTCAGTCAGATGCAGGCAACAGATGGTGCACCTATTTATAATAGTAGTATTGTTATATGCTGGTTGACATATTTGTGAATACATATTCCCTCTTCCTCTCTCCACTTGTGTATTCTCTCTCCATCTGTGACCACCGTGGCCTTACAAGTCGTGTGATTTATTATCAAGCAAGTTCATTCAGGTGACATTTAAAGACTGCACTACTCAAAGTGTCTTATAAATCGAGATTAATCGTAATGAACTGCAGCATGTTGTATGATAATTCTAATCAGTGAGAGTAAACAGATAGTTATTTTTATAACGTTAGTAAAGCTAAAGAACATGTAGGAATTTCTAACGAAACAGACTCAAGCAGTCTTCGTTGATTTCACATCAGCTAGTTGTTGGGGGTAAAATGTGTTGCAGGATGCAGACATTGGAAAAAGAATAAAATGCACTACACTGCATCCAGATCACAGGGTTTGTCAGGTTGATTTTGCTTTAATTGGACAAGAATTCGGACTTTGATTCACTCACTGCACTTAGATAGCCTACCAATTTTACTGGACACAGTGATGATTATAGTCTAATTGCTTTAATTAGTGCAGATTTTTTAATCTGATTGGTTGATTCCATCCCAAAGGTGAGTTACTTTGCTAGCGTCTACAGGATGGACAGAAGTTTTTGTGTAGGCGGTTTTGAGT